GCACTTCAAGGAGTGGGAAAAAAAATCAAATCAATATAATATAAAAATCAATACGTTAACTAGTTAACAGAGTTTGTCAGAAGTTATTTCAAACTGAAAACAGGAGGACTGGGATGTGGCGTTTAGCTGTGTACACAGCAAGAATCATGAGGTGTTTGGAGCTAAAGGTTTTGCATCAGATGTGAACCAAATGGTTGATGTAGAACATCACTTGCAATCAGTTCTATATACTAGTAAGGACATACCCTGAAATCATTGTGAAATTACTAAAATTTGGAGGCCTTTACACGGGGAATTAAAAAACAGTTTTGAACAAGCATGTGTTTCATATTATATAACTTCTACAGTCAGTTTTAGATGTGCAGTTACAAATTCAGAATTTGCAGAGCTTGCATAGTAGTTGATGGTTTTGCAAAGATTCCCAGTGACAAACTCATTCAGTTATAAAGCAAATGCCAAAGAAAAGTGCATGCACTCAGAAGAGATGTTTAAATTCAAGCAAACTGTTAGAAACCCAAACGTTCACTGTATTTCAATATCATTTTTTAGTAAGAAGTATTTGAGCAGAATTGTGAATTCCATATGCATTATTGCTTAATAATACTTTAACCAGCTTGTAAACCAAGGGATGGGCTTTTAAAGCAGGGCAGTATTATCAGATCAAAAGCAACAAAATAGCTCTTCACTCACAGTACAAAATATGATGTGACATCTGCAATTATGCTGCACAAAGCAGCAAAACTGCTGAGAGGATTTCAGTGTTGCCAAGGCATTTCTGGATCTGATAACTTTTTACTCGGTGTTGTATCTTTGTTGGTAATTTTTTTTGTTGATTTTGGTTTTTGCAAATTGCTCCTCAGCAAAGAGCAGTATTTCAGTATATTATGAAGCAGCACGGTAAAATTTATAAATGAAAAATGTTGACAACCACTTTACTATTAGGAAAAATATGTAATCCATTTATCTTAAGGGGTTCAGTATTAAAGCACTTTTGCATAATTTATTGAGAGAAAAAAGGCTGAGGAAAGCACTACAGCACTTGAAAAATCCTTTATCTGGTAATTCAAAAATTGCAAGTCCTGTTCCCTGTCAATTATCTTTGCATTTTTCATCTGTTCTGACATTACTGGTTTACGTTCTGTTTTTCTTCATTACCAAGTCCTATCAGCATTATCATTTTCTATAAGCTTTTTTAGTACCCTTAGCACTACGGCCAAACTTCATTTGTTCTCTGTACATGCTCTTTGCCCTAATGATGAAAATCATCTCCAAATACAAGTAAACTTTGCTTCTCTTATAGCAATCCAGCTTCTACATTAACTATACCAATGCAATGTTTACATCTCATTTTCTGCCCAGAAGAAACTATGTCCTCTATCAATATAAACAATTAAATTTCAGTCCTCCAAATATTTTCCAGCCATCTCTCCACTACCCAAATGGACTCCCAACTCTATCTCCAACATGTAATTCACTCAACTGAGCCCATCGAACCATTTGTAGAAGCCTACAGCTTAGTCACCTTGTTACTACCCTCTGAAAATACAAGTATTTCACACACAAACCCATAGGTTATTTATCACTCTAACAAGTTTAGCTCTGAGAGTACACTCTTTTTTGTAGACTGCACACTTCACCAAACCTCAGTTCTCCCCGCTCTCCCGGGGGGGGGGGGGGGGGGGGGGGGGGGGGGGGGGGGGGG